AGATATGAATATTGGATCCTCTGACTATTGCCAGAATGGTATTTTCTACCTCACTCTTCTCAGACTGAATCCTTTGCCCAAACTCCAGATCATTGACTTTGGCCTTAAAGTCAAGTCTAGTCATTATCAGTTAATTTCCAAATATGAACACTGATACTTCTACTTGACTTCAAAGCATTGAGAAAAAAAGATCTAGGGTTTTATGCCCCAGACCGTGCCTCTCTGCCTGAGACCACACAGGGCATGATGACCCTGGGGATGCCTATATAATGCACAGATTCTTTTTCTAGTTCTGTAAGTCCACATTCTTTAAAGTATTTGGTTCAGGCTGTCCTATGGAACTGTCTATCTATTGGAGAAGTTTATATAAATAGTTCCATCTGTTATTGGCCAAAAGACACATGAAAAGATGCTAAACATCATTAATCATCAGGCAAATGCAAACCAAAATCACAATGTGGTATCACCTTACACGAATCAAAATGGTTAATACCAGCAAGAAAAGAAATACAAGTGTTGACAAGGATATAGAGAAATGGGAACAGCTTGTACACTTCTAGTAAGATCGCAAGTCTGTGCAGCCAGTGTGGAAAGCAGTATGGTGGTTTCTCAAAAATCTAAACAGAGAAAAAAACATATGACCCAGTAATTTCACTTCTGGGAATTTACCCAAAGAAAACAAAATCACGAATCTGAAGAGATATTTGCACTCCCACGTTTATCACAGCCTTGTGTACAAAATATGGGAAAACCTAAATGTCCATTAAGAGATGAATAGATAAAAAAGAGGTGGTACATATACATAATGGAATATTACTCAGCGATAAAAATGAAAATTGCCATTTATGACAACACAGATGGAACTAGAGGCTGTTATGCTAAGTGAACAAACCAGATGGGAAAGACAAATACCATGTGATTTCACTTATATGTGGAATCTAAGAAATAAGACAAATGAACAAACAAAACTGAGAAAGTCATAAACTCATGGAACAGATGGTGGACCATGGGGTGGGAGGCAGATGAAATAGGTGAAGGAATAAAAAAGTTCATGGGAACTCTTGATATCTTGATCTGGGTAATGGTTGTATGATTGTATACACATGTCCAAATTCATCAAGCTGTACACTAAGATCTGTGCATTCTATTGTATGTACCTCAGTTAAAAAAGAAAGAAAAAAAAAGTAAATAGATGGAGACAAACATACCATGTGTGACAGCCATCAAAATATAACAGGAGTAGCAGTATTAATTCAAACATAGCCAACTTAAAAGTAAGGAAATTTATCATGGGTAAAGAAGAGCATTACTTAATGATAAAATGAGCCAATTCTCTAACAATTCTTAATGTGTATGTACGTAACAACAGAACTACATAAGGCAATAAACAGAGCTGCAAGGAGAAATACATGATTCCACTATCATAGCTGGCAACTTCAACACCCTCTCAAAAATGGACAGATCTATCAGGCAGAAATCAGTGAAGACATAGCTAAACTCACCACCACCACCAATCAACTGGATGCAGTGGACAGCTAGATTACTTCATTCAACAACTGCAGGGTACACATTTTTCTCAGCTCATATGGAACACTCACCATGATAGATCACATTATGGGCCGTAAAACACACCCTAACACATTTAAAGAACAGAAATGAATTATCTACTGCCCAATCACAATGAAATTAAAGTCAGTGAAAGAATGATAACTAGAAGATCCCAAAATATGTAGAGATTAAACACACCTTTAAATAATATGTGGGTCAAAGAAAGAATCTAAGAAGAAATTAAGAAATAGCTTGAACTTTGAATGAAATACAGCTTGTCAAAATTTGTGTAATGCAGTGAAAGGAGTGCTCAGAGGAAAATTTATGCCCTGAAAACATATTAGAAAAGAAGATCTAAAAGCAAGATTCTCCACTTTAGGAAACTAAAAAACAGCAAATTAAATCCAAAGTAAAAAGAAAAGAAACAGTAAGAGAACAGAGATCAGTGAAATTTAAAACAAGAAATCAACAGAGAAAATGCAACAAAACCAAAAGCTGGTTCTTTGAAAAGATTGTATCAGTAAATACCTAGCCTAAGAAAAAAAGAGGAAACAAATTATTAATACCAGAAATGAAAGAGAAGACTCCCAAAATTAAAAGGATAATAAAGGAACATTATTAACAAGTCTGTGCCTACAAATCTGATAACCTAGATGAAACGGCCCAATTCTTTGAAACAAACGCAAGACAAGGCCTCTATCTATTAAATGGAATGACCTTCTGAAAACACAAATCACCAGAGCCAGATGGATTCAACAGTGAATTCTACCAAACATTTAAGGAAGAAACAGTAATTCTCTACATCTGCTCCAGAAGACAGAAGCAGAGTATGCCCTAACTCATTCTCTGAGGCCAGCATTATCTAATACCAAAACCAGAGATGTGACAGGAAAACTGCAGACCACTATCTCCCATGATCACAGATGTAAAAATCCCCCCCCACCAAATTACTAACAAATCAAACCAAACAATGTATAAGAAAAATATATATCCCAATCAGGTGGGATTTATCCCAGGTGTTCAAGGCTGGCTCAACATTTGACAATAAAATTTAATTCATCACATCAACAGACCAAAAGAGAGAAATCCCAGTCATATCAATAGATGGAGTAGGAGCATTTGACAAAATCCAACACCCAGTGACAATAAAAACTCTTGGTAAACTAGGAATAGAAGGGAACTTTCTCAAGTTGATAAAGATTACTTACCAAAAGCCTACAGCTAACATCATACTTAGTGGTGAGAAATACAAAGCTTTCTTACTAGTATTAGGTACAAGGGAAAGAGGAATGTTGCCTTTCAGCACCATCCTGTTAGTCCTTGCTAATATAGTAAGGCAAGAAAAGGAAATAAAAGGTATACATTGTGAAGAAGACAAAGTGATATTAAAAAATTGTATTATAAGCATGAGAAGGAAAAATATAATGGTGTCAGAATTAACAGTTTAAAAGAGCCAAATCAGGGCCAGAGGAATTTTGTTTTACATTCCCTTTAATACTATTTGATTTCTATGTGCATCTATTGCTTGGATAATTTCTTGAATAGCAAATACAAAAGGAAAAATAATTGCAAGTACATATGGAAATAATCATGGGTAAGTATATAAAAGCTTATTAAAAGGGACACATCCTAGCATTTTTAATGGCAAAAATGTACAATTTTCAACGACGTAAGTATGCATGATATGTTAAGTGGAGGAAAAGATTATAAAACAGTGAAGACACAGACGTCAAGTATATACACCAAGATGATAACAAGAAAAAAAAAAGAATATACAACTTCTATTTTCCTTTTGCTTTTATATATTTTCCAAACGTACCAAGAGTGTGTTGCTATTGTAGTAAAATAACACAAGTTTTAAGCAGACATATCAAATCTTATAATGATTATTTCTGGATGATGGAATTATGGATGCTAGTAATTTGTATTCATTCATTCACTCATTCTTTCATTCACCTGAATTGTCCACTTGTGGCAGAGACAATGCTTATGTTCAGCAAATTGTTCCGGTTCTCTTCCTGGACATACACAATGACTACATTTCCCTATCTTCCTTACCACTGGCCTGGGGTCAAATGACTGAGCTCTATCCAAGGAAATGGGGAGAAGTGGTGTGTGCCTGTTAGGCCTGGGCATAAAACCCCGGCAGGATACACCTCTAGCTCCTCTCCTTGCATGGCAAGTCTGAGGATGTCCCTGGGAGACATCTGCCTTCCTGCCACACTGAAACGTGATGAAAGCAGACAAAGTCCTATCGTCTGAACTCAGTAAGACGTTGGGATTGTTACAGCAGTTCATCTATCCTAATACAGCATTACTATTACCAGTGGGAAGACAGAAATTTAAATGCTTTCAAAAATACAAACTACACTCAACAGCAGCCATTGTCTACTGAACAAAGTCCTCAAGATGGCACAGGATTCCTCCATGACCTGGTCCCATGCTCTTCACTTTCCAAAAATCTTACTGTCTCTCCTAAATGTTCCCAAAGCTTCTGGACCTGTTCTTCCACATTACAGTACTGACCACAACTGTAATGTAATCAGTTGGTTATTCATCAGTCCCTTCCACCAGATTGTGAGTCTCCACTAAGGCAACAGTTCCTTCTGCACAGACCTATCTTCAATGCTTAATGCTATGTGCTGGGCATGTAAGGGATGCTCAGTAAGTTTTTGCTGAATGAATCAATAATGTGCTCCTAAACGTTCATAGCCTCTTAAAAAAACATGAAATTTTACATGGAAGGCAGGAAGAAGCAGTTCTCATTTTATTGGAATACATTCTCTTCTAAAATGAATTCTCAATCTCTAAATATCTGACTAGCTAGCTTAAAGCTCTTACACATATTACTGAAATAAACCAAGGGCCAGGAATCAAGTAATATCCTTTTAGACTAGAATTGATTCCTAGACCAAATTCTTTATGGGTTTGTGAAGCCATAAAAATTCTGACTTCCTAAATTCAGAATTGAAATTTTTTTGTCTTACATATTTACAGCAAAATTACTCGTAGATATTTTAATGGTGTTAGATTCTGAATTATTTTAGATAGGAAGCAATCTTACAAAGACAAGATTTACCACTGTAACTTAAAAGCTCCATTTGTGAGAGAGACATTCCCAGGAAAGCACTGTATTTTAGGCTCCTTAGAAACTTCAGGTTTAATAATAGCCCTTTCATTAAATACAAAAGCATTATTTTTTAAATGTATTGAACAGCATCTTTCAAAGTTGAAGTCTTAGATGTTACGTTAACAGTGTCCATGAGAATACAGTTTAGTTGTTTAAGAAGTTTGTTTTTATTTATTTTTTTAATCTATGACTTTACCCAATGTATTTGGACATCTATAATTAATAGATTATTAAGAAAAAGTTTGTTTTATGGATTATTTTAAGATAGGATGAACCAATTTACTCTTTGGTTTTATTATATGGGAAAAACAACACACAGTCCTTCAGTCAAACAACTTTGTGATATTTATATTCCATTGTACAGGTATGGGTTATACAAATTAGTAACACAAGTTATTTCTTAAATTCCAAACATTCTCTAAAGTATTATTACAGTAGATGCCTAGGATAATTAAAACACTGAGGTGAAAAATCATACTCTAAATAGTTAAATATAACACTGAAAATAATGCACATTTTAATTACAGGAAAATTAAAATGTGTGCACAAATGCTCTAACAAACTAAACAGCAGGGCAACTAACAACTACAAATAAGTCATATACGTATAAATGCTTATTGTTTAGATAACCCCCCTTTTGAAATGCATAATTAAAACATAAAAATCTGGATAAATGATTTAAAGAAATTTAAATTCTTTGTAACACCTAAGCTTTATGGCGAAGTGTACTATTATCTATGACTTCCTACAACTACTAATTCAAGATAAAAGACACCACACTTGGAAAGAACAAAAGATTTTTAAAAGATAATAGTTTTAATTGAATTAATGAGATGAAAAGGTAGTGAAGCCCTGTTTGCTACTTACATGAAAGAAGATTTTAAAAAATAATCACTGCACAAAATACAAAGGGTGGGGGTTATGCTGTATTAAATTTTTTTCCATAATGTTTTTCTTGATTGTTCAAGAACAAATTAAAGTCTCCACAGCAAATTTGTTTTCAAAATGCCGAATTGTAACACAATTGCTGGCTTCACGTTTCTGAATACCTGTTTGGGAAGGAAAACTTTTTAAATTTCCGGTTCTTTAGTAAAATTCATATTAATCTTCATAGTTATTAGACATATAGAAGTATTTTACCCTATGTTCCACAAACTTCTATAGTTTTTTTTAACACCACAAAAAATTATTATCTTCTCTTATCTGAAGCATACATTAACAGATCTTATTTGTAACAACAATAATGCCATACATATAAACTTATGACCTTGAAGATATTGGAAATGTCCTTTATCTTGAATGGTGGTTTTGCAAAATTGTTGCAAAACTCAGAACTACACACTAAAAAGGGTGAGCATCATTACATAATATAAGTCTCACTTAAAAAAAATTATGAACCATAAAGATAGTTTAAAAATTTCTTAAATTAAGCAGTATGTTTCAGGTGCCTCATCGGCCTGAGATAAGAGAAAAGTATTATTATTAAAAAAGTACTAACAAAAAGCCAGGAGAGCACTGGATGTGCCACAGTTCCAAAGAAATCATGCTCTATATAGTGCCTTTGAATGGTGCTTCTTACTCTGTACAGCTCTGTCATATGTACTTTCATTTTATTTTTACAATGATATTAAAAGGAAATGAAGAGAAACTGTTGCCAGTATTTTTCAGGTGAGAAAACAAAGCTTAAGTTATTTGGCAAAAACCATATTAGTTGTATCAGTCATCTTAATTCTTCAACCAAATTTCTAACCTGTCAGTGATTATCTCCAACATGACCCAAAAGGCAAGCTCTCTGCTTAGACTGCAACCCCTGAGCTTCTCTAGCGACACTCTGGATAAGAACCCTTGCACACTATGGCTGAACCAAAGCAGTAGGATGGAAAGTTGGCTAGGGTGACTACATGGGAAGTGAGGTAACAGCATCTCAAGGCCATGACATTTCACAGTCACCTATTCTATCTGAAAAGAGATAAAGAATGAAGATGATTCCTCAGAAATCTAGCAATACTATAGTGATTTTCACACTCAAGGCAAGCATTTGTAACAGATAACTATCCTACATCTAAAACTAGTTTAACACAATGAAGTGAAACAACAAAGTTTTCTGCCAACACTCTAACATTAAAAAGCATTACCTTTAATGGTTTCTCTGCGTTGCAATTTGTAAGTTTCCTTGTCATGACACAGTCGATAAATAAAGAAACCCAGGTTATCAATGTTTTCAATGCGATCGGTAATAACCATGTGTTCATGAATCAAATATGACTGAGGCAAATAGGTTCCAGCCTATATTTGGAAAAGAATATACTACATGAATATGAATTTCTCAAGATATTCACTAAAGAGATGAAGAAAACAGACAAAATTCTGAGAGAGATTATAGTATGAACAGAGGCTGGCAAACTACTGTCTACCATCTGTTTGTGTAAATGTAGTTTTATTGGTAGAGTAATTCCCGTTTTGTTACATATTGTCCATAGCAACACAATTAAGTAATTACAACACAGATTTCTTAAAAGCATATTTATTTTCTGGCCCTTTGGGAAAAGTATAATTTAAGAAATTGTATTTTAATTTCAAAATATAAAATATAAAAAGAAAAAAAAAAGAAACCCAAAACCACAAGTCTTAGTTTCTCTTTGTAAAATTCTTAGCTACATTTTCAGTAAGATGGGCTCTTATAAAGCTAATTCTCAACAGGGGATTCCAAGATGATGTAACTCATCATTAATAATATTTCAAAATTTTATACCTTTATGTTAATAAGTAACTCCAGTAGGTTTCTAGGTGGCATAACAATGGAAGTGTTCAGAGGAATCACATAGCACTTATCCAGGTTAAGATCTAAATAGGCTGTGAGTTTCTAGGAAGAAAAAGATACATTTTCATTAGATTAATACAACTGACCCTTGAACAATACAGGGGTCAGGGATGCTGAACTCTGCACAGTGAAAAATCTGTGTATAACTTGACAATCCAAAAACTTAACCTACTAATAGTAGACCAGAAGTCTTACCAATAATGGAAGATTAACATGTATTCTGTATGTAATGTGTATTTACATACTGTATTCTTATAATAAAGTAAGCTAGAGAAAAGAAATTGTTTTCAAATTGTTGCAAATCTCAAAAAAATTTCCAATATTTATTTTTAAAAATCTGTGTATACGTGGGCTCATAGTTCAAACCTATGTTGTACAAGGATGAATTATATCAGTTACACAGGCAGCAACTGGATTTTTAATAATTTGTACCATTAAAATGTGTTCACTTTAGAATGTGTAAATTTCAAAGATCAAGAATTTGGTAGGATTAGGATGACAGATAGTAATAAAAGGAAAAATTATTTCTACTAGTAAATAAAATTCTTATGAGGAATTTGCTTCTGTAAGTAACGACAATAAACTATTAGAATTAACTGTAAATAACCTATTACCTGATTAATAAGAGATTTCATTCCCTCACTTATAAGTCCTAGTAACCTCCAAGGCATGCATCCATTGTTTATGTAAAAATTAACTTCTCTAGAAGTTATCCATCTAGAACTGTTCTAGTTACTACCATCCTTAGAGAACTAAAATAATAGTCAATATTAAATGATTTTGTGTTCTTGTGGTTCAGATGAGAAAGCCTTGCTGAGAAATACTGTCTCATAGGATGATTTTGAGGATTAAAGTGAGGTAAACCAAACACTGAACACTTAAGATTTCTAAGAGCTCAGTAAGTATTACCTGTTAGTACTTACTATGTTTTGGCTAAGGCTTATTACCTTGAGGTAAGTACTTTTTTCAAACTGGTTTATAAACATTCATCGGATGTATCTATCAGGCATGAAATGTCTAAAAAACTAACTTCAGTTTATGTCTCAATGTTCAAAATGGCAACCTTATACACAGATGTGAAGTCCACAGGCAATATGTGAACTTCTGAATTTCTAAATCCTGGTTTGAAAAACAAAACATTCTTGGAACAAAAATTATTGGGGGAATTTAAGTAACAACTTGATTATTAAATAATGCTATGGTATCACAGTTTTCACATATTCATAATGATGTGGTTATGCAGAATTCTTCATTCTTAAAAGAAAACAGCCTAAGGATCTAGGGGTCAAGTATCAAATGCAAGAAAAAGAGATGGTATAAAATAACAGTAAAATTTTCGAACCAGATAGAAGATTTGGAGTATATACTGTATTTTCACTTCAATTTTTCTGCACTGCATAATCATTTTCCAAAGGTAGGGAGAAATGTAGAGTGAGAAATTAAAAACAGATTAACAAAATGATGTAGAACTAAAATTACTATTTCTGGAAATGCTACATAGAAATGGAAACATGAAACTTATCTAAGAAAATAGAGGGTACATAAGAAATAAGAGCAATTTACCAACAAAGCAGGACCAGCCATAAGGTGGGCTATAAGATAGAGAAGGCAAGGGAAAGAAAGGTAAAAAGGGAGGCCAGGTTCACAAGGAGTCTGTTTGAGATAAAGGGCCCATCAAATGTTAACAGTTCATCTTGCAGAGCAGAAGAAACCCAAGTCCATTTTTTTAAAAATAAACTCTAAATAGAATTAGCAAATATTGAAATTAAACTACAAGACACATAAATTAAAGAACCTGCATTCTTTTTACAGTTCAAGACACCACTCACCTTGTTAAAATCATGAACAATGTTAGCAGGATCACTATCTCCAAACTCTGGGACAGGCACACTGATGAATTCAACCTCATCTTCCTCAAAGATCTTAATATTCTCCTCAATTGTCTGGTAGCGAGCAGCTGGGGCATCTGCAGAAGGCTCATTTAGGATGACATCATCTTTGATGTACTTTATTCCACAGTAGTACACGTCGTCTGGCTATAGAGAGTTTAAACACTATCTCAGCAATTCAGTGGGAGACAGGTTTTTAAATGTAATAAGCATTACTTAAGCTGCCAACTCTATCTAATAGCATTTTGCTTGCAAACTCTTACTTTTAGATGACAAGTCAGTTTAATTACAGAGTTAAAACATTCTTTAAGATCAGGTTTTGAAATATTGTTAAAAAAATGGCTTCAGGAGAAAAGCCACTGATTTTTTCTTCACTTTTAGTGGTTGACAAAAATAGAATATAAAAGTAATTATCTGTCTGGTAACAAGTAAATACAAAGACACAGGCATATGTTTCTACCTGTAGACATTACTTTTATAAAAGAAAATATTCAGAAACTACGTTTTTTCTGAAAGAATATAGTTTTACAATTTTTTGGTATGATTTGCTAATTAAATAATTTTTTTTATTAGCCAAAAGAGGGATAGTTTTTCTGAAATTTCCACATACAGGTAATTTTTCTTAAAAGTATATCACAATTAAGTAGAAAATATGGATTATAGCAAATCAGTATTAAGACTGTTTTTAAAAAAGTATGTATAAAGACTAGGAGTATATAAAAAAAAGCAACAAATATATCTCTGAACAGCAGAATTAACTGCAAATGATTTTTTTCTATATCAAATATATTTCTTATAAAAATTTGCATTAAAAAAGATGACTAGTCTTTCAGTACTATCAACATGCCATTATCTCAAAAATTATAGAAAATGAGCACAAAATTTATACATCCTCTGGCATATTTCATTTTAATAAAATCTGTCAACAGTTTCTCCAAATTTTAAAATGTTAAAAAAATTAACCTGCTGAATTGTTGCCAAGAGAAATATATCATAAAACAGAGACCATAAAGCATAATTATCATCAGAAGAAAAATCTGTATCTTACCCCTCTCATTTTACTATTAAATAAGTATTTACTATTACTTAATATTCAGGGATTCATGCTAAGTCACTTCAACATTACTGCTGAAGTCCCACAATTCTTAAGAGACACTAATGATGGGCAAGAGGCAGAGGGAAGCAGTATGGTGTACTCTGGGCCCCAGAGCCAAAGGCTATTTTGGGGGAGCCCATATTGACTATCAAGCTGTATACTGTCAACATGATAACATTTGCTACTGTTTGATGTATTCATCTTCTTGGCAATTGACAATACTATACTTTAGCTATTAATTATGGTAGGAAAATGAAGGCTAGTCAATTTTGAGAAATCATACAACAATCTGTACCCTTTCGTCAGCAACATTTCAAAACGTTATTCTGCTTGTAGTGACTAATAGGCTCAGTAAACTTATGTTCAGGAGATTCTTAAACACAACTTTCAGACAGGATGACAACTCTGGCTAAAGGCCACAGATAAAAGTACAGGCTTAGAACAAGTTTGGGCTAGTATTCTAATATAAGTGAAGGAAAGGTAAAACAAGTCCTTAGCATTTTTCCACCTACTTGAAGTGCAAAATATTTGTACAGGTATGCTCCTCCTAGAATGACACCTGCAAGCATGAATGCTAATCCAAAGCACATGCACCAACACCAGGCTCTTCTTTGGCCAACTGGTATCACTTCATCTGGGTCCTAAAATATGAAAAAGATTAATGGTCAATAATATCCTATCTCCAGGCAGAATTACAGGCAGGTCAGAATTCAAGGACTGTAAGGATTATCATTTTATAAAGATACAGAAACCAAAAGTGTCAGGTCTCTAATCAAAATCAACCCAGGAATGCCAGGATTCACCACAATGCCTGCCTTTTTGAACTGAGATATTAGTTCCTTGGGAAAGTTCTACCTTCAACTCTCAACATCTCATCAGCTACTCATATCTCTAGAGCAATAACATACTCCCCAATTAGTTTCCTGTGTACAACTTTTGATTATAATATCTTCTAACATTTAAAAAGTCAGAGACAGCTATGACACAACTTTTCCATGCACTATTACAGTGCTGAGCCTTACATATTACAACTTCAAGGTATATTAGATTACTTATAAAATGATGTTAGCCTATATTAATAGTTCATTTCATACATAAAGCCATTCCTAACTATACACAAGAAAGAGTAGCAGAAAAATAAGAGTGAAAACAGTAAAACAAATTCTTTCAACAATCAGATCTCAAAAAATAGGACAAACTTATCCAGAAATAATCCTATAACCCCATGTCCCACCCTAAAGAGCCCCAGTTTAACAAAGTTCTTCACTTTAAGATAGAGGTAGTAAAAAAATAAGGTAAGGTTTAATAAGAAAAATTTACTTACAAAATTATAGACATACAACTAGCATACAATTGTTAAGAGTTTTTATTATGATCCACCCCAGGAAATAATTTAGCATTAGAATATCATCTGGGGTCATATTCACAATCCAAAAATACTCCCTTGGCCCTTCTCAGTTCCTCTACTACATCACTTCAGAGTTACAGCCAATTTCTTATTTGTACTCAGATCCATGTGCAAAGAGCTGACAAAAGAATCAGTGTATGGTGTTACATAACTAATGGTTAAAAAAATAGTATAAGCAGCAAAAGAAAGACTCCAACTGACTTGAAACCAACATTGTGAAAGATGTACTTGTTAGTAGTATGCATGTACAACCTCTCAAGTGTATGATTCTGTCCTTGGAAAAATCAGTATGGGCTGGATAAGGGAGAAAGCGAACTGGACCTATGCCTCCACAGATAAACACGACATATGTAAAATGTTAGGGAAGAAAAACTGTACGAACAATGCTGGATATGGTTGAAGCAAGAATTCCATTAGGAAAGAATGAAAGCTAAGGTTTTGTTTCCAATTCTAAAATGAAGGATTTTTAACTTGATGCTACTGAGGAAAAGCCCAATCCAGAATCCCAGCCCACCAAGAATAATTTAAGGCTAGACTGTATGTGTCTAGGTTGGATGAGGTTTCAAACACAGAATTTAACACAGGAGAACAAATGCTTTTCAATCTAAGGATTGGACCAAACACTATGAGAGTGTTACACTCTGCTGTATAAGGTATACTTATCAACGTATTGTATATATATACTTAAAACAAGTGCACTGCAAGGAAGTAATATGTTATCAGAATAAGCCTAGAGGAATTTATCAAGATATTTATGTAACATATCACATCTGTAAATAGAAAGTTACAATAATTCTATGGAACCACAAGGTATTATGAAACCTGAATGATAAAGTATATAGTATTTTCCTTAAGCCCTTTTTTGACATAAATATCCAAGGAGATAAGAAACAGCTCCTATCATAATTAATTTTAGGGTAGAGGGAGGTGGGGAATGAATATGACAGATGGGAATAGTTATTTCTAAACATTTGGTATCAGCTGCTGAGACAGTCAAGTGTGTAAACAACTCCCACCCTGCTTGGCAGGCTCTCTTCTCTAACACATAAATGATAGCCAAAGAACATGGGCAGACACTTATAAAAGAATACAGTCCAACTGTCAAACTGATGACAAGTTTCAGGACTTTTGATACATCATTTTTAACTGGTGAACAAACAATAATTTCAAGAATAAATTATAAATGTCTATTATATGCCAAGAGCTGTGCTAGGATACTGGGTGTATAGCCTTTGCCAAGAATGACATCATTCAGATCAGCTTGGAGAATAAATATGCAAAGAGTATAATACAGACCCTAATAGGAGAATGTAGAGAGCACAGAACCAACCATAGCACCTGGGGAACACTTCCAGGAGATGAAATACTGGAGTGGAATACTGACAGATAAAGAGTCACTACCCATGCAGAAGACACAGTTTAAAGGGCATCATACATAAGGCAAAGAATGAAAAATATCATGGGGCCAGAAAAAGCGTGACATCTTCAAAAGCCACATGTGGTATGGATGGAGAGGTAATATGGTATGTTGTATACAATACTATGAAGTTTGAATTCTCGTGTCCATTCAATAATATTTCAGGAATATGACAAACAAAAATTAAGATTTCTCAAAGAATTAACTTACAAAATAGTTTGCTTATCCACAGGTCATTTGTTTGGTACCTCAACATGAAACATGGCTTAAGAATCAAGAAGTCTTTGAATTGCCAAACTGTAGTCATGTACTTCATCAGAAAACTATGAGGTCTTCAAAGTCGATCTAATCTCTTTTTTTCCCTTAAATTTCTAGTGACCACTTTCTATCTCACATTAGAATAATTTACATACATATCTTACCTCTCCCTTCTAGGCTATAAGGTTCTTGTAAGCATTCATTCGATTTTGCATTACTCATAGGTCTAGATCAAGCTAGGTGCTTGCTAGGCACTTAATAAGTATTTATTTTTTCTTTAATTTTTTATTAAGGTATGATCGATATATACTCTCATGAAGGTTTCACATGAAAAAACAATGTGGTTACTACATTTACCCATATTATCAAGTCCCCACCCATACCCCAATGCAGTCACTGTCCATCAGTGCAGCAAGTTGCCAGAGATCCACTATGTCCCTTCTCTGTGATACAGTGTTCTCCCCGTGATCCCCCACACCATGTGTACTAAACATAATACCCCTCAGTCCCCTTCTTCCTCCTTCCCCACCCGCCCTCCCACACCCCTCTCCTTTGGTAACCACTAGTTCCTTCTTGTAGTCTCTGAGTCTGCTGCTATTTTGTTCCTTCAGTTTTGCTTCATTGTTATACTCCACAAATGAGGGAAATCATTTGGCACTTGTCTTTCTCTGCCTGGCTTATTTCACTGAGCATAATGTCCTCCAGCTCCATCCATGTTGTTGCAAATGGTAGGATTTGTTTCTTTCTTATGGCTGAATAGTATTCCATTGTATATATGTACCACCTTTTCTTTATCCATTCATCTACAGATGGACATTTAGGTTGCTTCCATATCTTGGCTATTGTAAAAACTGCTGCGATGAACATAGGGGTGCATATGTCGTTTTGAATCTGAGAAGTTGTATTCTTTGGGTATATTCCAAGAAGTGGGATTCCAGGGTCAAATGGTATTTCTATTTTTAGTTTTTTGAGGAACCTCCCTATTGCTTTCCACAATGGTTGAACTAGTTTACATTCCCACCAGCAGTGTAGGAGGGTTCCCCTTTCTCCACATCCTCACCAGCATTTGTTGTTCTTAGTCTTTTTAATGCTGGCCATCCTTACTAGTGTGAGGTGATATCTCATTGTGGATAAAATTTGCATTTTCCTGATGATTAGTGAGGTTGAGCATCTTTTCATATGTCTGTTGGCCATATCAATTTCTTCTTTGGAGAACGGTCTCTTCATATCCTCTGCCCATTTGTTAATCAGGTTATTTGCTTTTTGGGTGTTGAGGTGTGTAAGTTCTTTATATATTTTGGACGTTAACCCCTTGTCAGATATGTCATTTACAAATATATTCTCCCATACTGTAGGATGCCTTTGTTCTGTTGATGGTGTTGTTGGCTGTACAAAAACTTCTTAGCTTGATGTAGTCCCATGAGTTCATTTTTGCTTTTGTTTCCCTTTCTTGAGGAGATGGGTTCAGGAAGAAGTTGCTCATGCTTATATTCAGGAGATGTTTGTCTATGTTGTCTTCTAAGAGTTTTATGGTTTCATGACTTACATTCAAGTCTTTAATCCATTTCGAGTTTACTTTTGTGCATGGGGTTAAACAATAATCCAGTTTCATTCTCTTGCATGTAGCTATACAGTTTTGCCAACACCAGCTGTTGAAGAGGCTGTCATTTCCCCACTGTATGTCCATGGCTCCTTTATCATATATTAATTGACCATATATGCTTGGGTTTATATCAGGGCTCTCTAGTCTGTTCCATTGGTCTATGGGTCTGTTCTTGTGCCAGTACCAAATTACCTTGATTACTGTGGCTTTGTAGTACAGCTTGAAGTTGGGGAGCGTAATCCCCGCTTTATTCTTCCTTCTCAGGATTGTTTTGGCTATGTGAGGTCTTTTGTGGTTCCATATGAATTTTAGGATGATTTTCTCTAGTTCATTGAAGAATACTGTTGGTATTTTAATAGGAATTGCATTGAATCTATAGATTGCTTTAGGCAGGATGGCGATTTTAACAATATTAATTCTTCCTATCCATGAGCATGGGATGTTTTTCCATTTATTGGTATCTTCTTTAATTTCTCTCATGAGTGTCTTGTAGTTTTCAGAGTATAGGTCTTCCACTTCCTTGGTTAGGTTTATTACTAGGTATTTTATTCTTTTTGAGGCAATTGTGAATGGAATTGTTTTCCTGATTTCTCTCTCTGCTAGTTCATTGTTAGTGGCACTTAACAAATATTTGATGAGTGAAATGAATTTAGGTATTTTACATAAAAGCTTGGTTATTTATTTTTTAATGACCCTGTAGAAGCAAGTTATAGCAGCCAGCATGATAATGAGGGGTGAGGGCAACATAAAAATTCATGACACACAACCGACCAGCTATTTAGCAAAGCACAGCAGCTCTAAATACTTAGCCTAATTCAACATTTATTAAGGGCCTGTTATTTGCAATGTACTAAGCAAGATCCTGGGGGAAATTCAAATGTGATTAAGACATGGCTCATATCTTAAGCAATTTACAGTCAAAATTAACATTATGCATGACAGGTAAATGACATCC